AGTACATTAAAATTAAGAAGCATTTCAAGCAAAGAATATGCACCCCAATTTCTTAATCCACACTAAGGAAAACAACACGGTAAACATTTTGGAAAGGTTCTCACTGTGATTCTCTTCATATCTAGCTGGCGCAGCTGCATCATATTCTGAAGGACCGTGTGTTTGTACCATGACTCTTGAGCTATTGGATTGCCATCAAAGGTGATGTCTGAGAGGGAAGTAGAGTCAGAAAGGCAGGAAACATTGTCAAAACTGCAGGAGAGACAGAAACCATGACATTATTCTGAGGGTTTCAAATAATCCTTTCACTTTTTAAATAGACTTTACTTTTTTATAACAGTTTTAGACTTACAGAAAAATTGAGAAGATAGTACATAGTTCCCATAAACTCCCAGTTTCCCCTAGTATTAACATCTTTTATTAGTATGCTACATTTGTTATTAATAATACAATTAATTAACCAATATCAATACATTCTAACAAAACTCCATATTTTATCCAGACTTCCTTGGTTTCTACCCAGTGTCTTTTTTCTGTTTCAGGATCCCATCCAGGACATCATATTACATTTAGTTGTCATATCTCCTTAGGCTCCTCTTGGCTGTGACAGTTTCTTAGACTTTCCTTGTTTTTGATGACCTTCAGAGTTTTGAGGAATACTCATTAGTTATTTTGTAGGATGTCCCTTTATTAGGATTTGTCTGATATTTTTCTCACGATTAGACTGGGGTTAAGGTATATACCGTTAATATGAGTTATCACTGTTGATGTTGACCTGATCACCTGGCTGAAGTGGTTTTTCAGGTTTCTCCAATGTAAAATTATTATCCCCTCCCCTCCTTTTCATACTAAACTCTGTAAGGAAGTCATGATGTGCAGGCAACACTTCAGGAGTGGGAAGTTAGGCTCCCCATCCTTGAGGGCAGAGTATCTATGTAAATTATTTGGAATTCTTCTTTCCAGGAGATCTGTCTTTTTTGTCTGTCTGTCTGTCTGTCTATCTATTTATTTATTTATTTCAGTTTGGACTCAGAGATACTTATTTTATACTTTGGGTTATAATCCAATACTACTTGACTTACTTTGCTGTTCAAAATTATTCCAGCTTTGGCCATTGGAAATTCTTGTAATTGGCTCCTGTGTCCCTTTAACTATCATCAATGTGGATTTTTTTTTTTTTTTTTTGAGCGCTTGGCACTATAAGATTTTCTAGACTCATGTATTTCCCACCCTAGTCCTAGAATCAGCCATTTCTCCAAGGAGCCGCAATTCCTTTTACTGGAGAATAATATTAGAAACAAAGATCTGGCTAGGTGTACATTTTGCTACCACAGTAGTGGTGTCATTTCTTTTAGGTCCTTTCAGCTGATACAGCAAGAAAATATATGTGTGTATTGAAACCTATATATACACACATATCTGTAGATATTTCTCTCTGTAACTACCTGTGTCTATATTAAGCTAAACATGAGTTCATACTGATGTCTCCAACTCTACTGATACATCCAATCCATTACTAAATGGATCATTCTAGCCTCGTCCCCTTGCTTAGTCTAAAAATTCCTGCTCCCGACAAGGAGAAATTTGGCTCCCACCATCTGCTATCCATTTACTTAATTATTCGATTCCAGTATATATGTATAGAGGTATCAGAACTTTTCAACTGTACACCCAATGGGAAACAACTTTATCAAATGACGTACACAACTAGGTGTGATCCCTTTTGTATTTAGCCTTACAGAC